TAAAGTAGCCAAATATTCGATCCGTAAATATAACACAATTAATCAAATAAAATACATGGATGATGTTAGCGGTGCTCTTGCTGTGGCTGATAGATTGCGGTCTCCAGACATAAACCTAGACGTGTCTTGCAAGCTATGCCAACATCACTCAGAAACGACTTGTCATGTCTTATTTGGTTGTAGGGCAGCTGAAGATATGCTACGATGTGCTAACATTCCTAATCCTAGCTCTGGTTTCTCGACAATGCTAGAAGAAAACCTCTCCTTCATGCTGGACTTGATAGAAAAGCGTGCTATCTCAGAGGACACAAGATTGGCTATTCCCTGGCTCTTATGGAACATATGAAAAAATCGGAACTTTATCTTATATGCTCAACAATTGGAACCTGTGCATTGTTGGGTTCAACGGGCTCTTGAGGAAGCAAGGTTCTGGCGGGAAGTTAATATAAGTTCAGAGGAGGCGACTCACATGGCTTCGAGATATCAAGTGAGCAACCCAAGATGGCTTCCTCCTCCTTTAGGTGACATTACGTGTAATGTTCACTCCACTTGGACCAATGCGTTTTCACACAATGGTGGAGCTTGGATCGCAAGGGCCTACTCTGGAGGTGTGGTACTACATGCGCGTGAGGCACCGGTTCTCCTAATGTGATAGTGGCTGAACTTCGAGGAATCATTTGGACGATGCAAAGCTTACTTGATTTACACTTTGTGGACGTTACGATTGCCTTGGATTCTGCAGCAGTTTTACGTTCTATTACTAAACCTGAGGAATGGCCAAGATATCGGGCCTTCTTGATGTACATCAAGAACCTCCAATCTCGGTTTGGGTCGTGTTCTTTTGAGATGGAGTCGACGTCTGCCAACTCGGTTGCACGTGACATTGCAAGGAGTGTTACCCGTGATGGGAGGTTCCAGTCATATCTTGCCCTTGGCGGACCATCTTGGCTTCAAGATCGAATTATCAGTGATGCATCATTTTAACATCTTTTAGTCCCTTGATATTGGGAATTGGTGTTGTTGGTTTTTGGTTTCTTTGTTCCAAACTTTGTTTAATTTTTTCTAATAATATTCAGATGATTAAAAAAAAAAAATGATGTTATATGAAGGTTCATCGATCTGCATGTGTGGTAAGTAGCTCTTTTGGCTCTAATCTACATTGGTGTAGTGGAGCCAAGTTGAGAAGCAAATGAAACATGTATTGCCATTTGCCAATAGCTGAACGAAGATGTATAGAATTATGGAAATAACAAAAGAATTTAGTAAGTGCACAAGTGAATACAAATTATACTATTTTAAATCGGATTTCTACTTGTCTATTTTTTGTTCCAGTTCTGAAGTTTAAAATATATATATACTAGAACATAACTGGCGCTATGCCTGACTTTTTGCTATATAATTTTATAAAATTTAACAACAAAAGTTTGATCTAAT